ATCAGAGGAGCTACCTGCATCGAAAATCTTCCACTGTCTGCTCTGGCACCTTCCACAACCGGGTAAGCTCTCCACAGGGGATCCACCACCGAGTAGGTGACGTCCGGCATCCTGAGAGCCACCTGTCCGCATCGCAGCGCCCTTTCCTCATCCCTTCATCCTCATCCCTGATTGTCAACTTTGTCACGGAACCACAAAGAGCATGCAAAGGACATACCCGTTTCGTGAACCCACTTGTCGAAACCCGCTTGTTGCAAGCCCACTGACAAATGTAAGCCCACTGACCGGATGTGCCTCAGCTCTGGCTGCCTCTGCCTGCTGGAACTCGGCAGCCTCACAAACCAAACTAGGGTGACTAGAGCTGCTCAACTTTGTCATCAGCTGAAAAGCCACAGCGCATCACAGTGCATGAGTTGATAGTGCGTGGAAAGTCAGGCCTCAAGCTGACTGGCATGCATTGCCTGAAGTCATGAGCCTCGCTTCTTTTCAGACCCCAGCCCCACTTGGGTCTGCCGGATCCAGGCAGATATTGGGTGACACTTTCGCGCAACCAACTCTGCACACACTGGTCCCAATACTGACATTGGTCAGCAGTGTGACGCCCCCCATGAGCCCTATTGCTGGACTGCTTTTACCTGTGTGCCAAACCACTTGTCACAAGGCCTGGCGTGGCTTTTCTGGGCTTCTCTCCTTATCCTCTAAGTTGATTCCCAGCATTTACTTGTTCTCATTCAACGGGCCATCCTCGGCACATACGTCCACGCTTTACTTAATTATGGGGCATGGTTCGAGCTTAGCAAGCCGCCGGAAAGTCTGAAAACTCTATCTGAATCTGTCTGTCTATCCCTCTTCCTCCCTCCCTCTCTTGGTTCAGTTCACTTCTTGCTCGCAGCATCTTGCCGCAGCTGATGAATGTCATCCAGCGCTTGCCGCATGCCTCAGCTACTCCATCTGCAAGCGGTTGGCGACATGAGGGCAGATATTGTAGCCTCTCATTGACACACCCAAGCTGGACGCGGTTCAAGTGCTTGTATCGCTTTCCTGGCCCCAAAGCGGTATCGGAACAGGAGCCTCTGAATAAGTGAGAGCCTAGGCATGAAGTATGATTTCCTTTCAACAGATGCTCTGCTTGAGGCCACAAATGTTGCGACTCTCACAGACTACAGAGCAGACCCAATCCATAGTGCCAAAGCACCAGAAACCAATTCATTGAGGGCCGCCATGACTGTGCACCTGACTGGAACCAGAGGCAGGTATTCTAAAGTTTGCAGTGCCCGCCATGATTTCTTGCGTGGCCTGGCATTTGCCTCCTCTGGCCCTGAGATCGGCCTTGGCTTCGATGCTGGCGATGCCTCGCAGATACACAGCCCCTCTCAACATGGAGACCTTTTGATCTTCTGAGCAATGTTCTCAAGCTTTCCACTCAACAGTTTTCTGTGGCATGCGACGCGGAGCATCTGGCTGCTCACATATGCGTCAGGGCTTAGATACGTTTATGGACCTGGACCCTTAAAAGCTAGTTCCCTTGCCAGCCTCTGCACCTTCCCTGCTGGGCCGCTCGGTGCGGCGCATGTCCGTCATGCCGGGGTTGGACCTGGAACGTTGACAGGAAGACTCTAGCTGAAGCCCACGAGACGTGGCAGCGCACCCGTGTGGTGTACGGGATGCCGCAATGTCTATAGCCCGTTGCTCTCAGCCTGCCCTCACAGACCAAAGTGAAAAACGCTGACGAGACCGCGAAGTGCGAAGTACTGGCAGGGAAGGGCAGCAACAGCGCGCGCGCGTATTGTGCGGGCATTCTCCTCCTAGGCAGCTGCTGCTTTGCCCTCCTCCTTCGCACCCTTCGCCCCGACGCCTCCAGCCCCTCTTTAAAGGACGCCTGATTTGGCCCTGTCTGCCCCGTTTGCAGCCAAGTCTGACGTTCTTTGCTGTTTTCTGTTTCCCCCCTTCAAAACTTTACCCTGATCAGAGGACGCCTGGTTTGGCCCTGTATGCTCACACCTCCCCCTTTTCGCCTTCTTCCCCTTTGGAACCCTCCTTTTCCCCCTTCAGAGGACACCTGATTTTTGCCGCCAAATCTGACGTCCTCTGCCGCCTCCTCCTTTCCCTCATTCTATCCAAAGGATCCTCAGATGTGGTTTTGATTGCGCTTTACTGAGTAATCGGCTGAAAACGCTGGCGGAGTCCTGCAGATGGATGCACCATTCATGTAATTTCCTGGTTTCCTTCTACGGTCAAAGTAGAACATGGATCAGACACAATTTCTAATGTTTTTGCTGTGTCGAGTTTCCACAACAGTCTAAAGAAGCCCACAAGAACAAGCTTGAAACAAGCAGGCCTCTAGCAACGGCATTTGGAAAAATGATGAAGCTCAGAAGGATAAAGGAATGGAAGACGTCGTTTTGAAGAAAACATTACAGCATGTTTTCCAAACACACACTCAGTAGAGCGCTTGCATTTCCACTCAATATGCCGGACATCGGGAACTCACTGAAATCTATCAATTTCTGTCGTTTGGGCCCCTTGGAGCCTTGGGGCATAAGTAAACTCAAAGTTGACGCGGCTCATTCTTATTGATTACTTGCCGCTTATATTAGACCCAAGACCTTGATCTTGGTTGCTAGCTTTTCTGGGCTCAGGTGCCTTTGTGTCAAAAAACCGGACAGAATTTCCAAAGCTTTCTTGAGGACCTTCCTTCTTTCCGATTCCAGATCCGGGTCTCAAGTGAGACCAGAATTCTCCGTCCCAACTCCTCTTCGAAAGAAAAATCAGTTTCATAGCCCCAGCACATCAGCAGAAGCAACAGTCTGCAGCCTGGACTTTCGGGCGCACTCCCGAAGACTGTCGATATGCCATAAAAATTCAAGGATTTTTGTTGCCTGCTGTCTAGAAGAAAGGAGCCTTTCAGCCAAACATGTTGTAATTCCTTTCGACACCTAATGAGCTGACCGTGGCGGACATGCCTAGTGCCCGGAATTCCAACATCACTTTCTCTTCCTCCTCATCTAGTTCTTTGGAGGAAGAGGGGGTAGAGGCAGCACAAGCGAAGCTACATTTTAGATATTCAGGAAAAGGCATAGACAGTAGAACAAGGTGACACAAGGACATGCACAATGGAAAGCCTTGCGCCTGTTTTGGTCATGGGGTTGTCCATCACCAAAAGCACGCAGAGCTTGACCGAGCAGGCCTGGGACGTCTGTCGGGACGTGCGCTTAGCCGCACGCCCGAAATCCGCTGAGTCACGATTCGCTTCCTTGGCCTCTTCCAAGATCTCCACCACCCGGGCATGCGCCGTCTTAGCCTCGAGGCATCTTGGGTGCCAGCACCTTTTTAAACATCCCTTGACCTTCACTTACATGCAGGTGCTAGCTTAGACCAAGCAGCTGAGGAAGGTCGGCGCAGTGACTCGGCAAGTTGCTCCAGTTCTGCCTGAGTCTTGGCTGCGCAGACCTGTTTGTGTGAAACTGTTTTCCCTTACGAGCAGGGGTCTGCTTGCCCAGTCGAAGTCCATGTCCAGGGCCAAGGCAGACTCTGCCAGAACTCGACGTAGCAGCGAAGTTGTCAGTTCCTACGGACAAGTGGCAAACAAGCGCTTTGCCACTGACTGAAGCCTTCACCGCAAACCTCCTGAAACAAGGAAAGCCTTCTCTCTTGCCGCGTTTCCTCTTTTATTCTCCTACTTTTGCCTGGCTCCGGGAGCAACGCAGTGTCGCAGCCAACGCGGCAGAGGCCAAAGCTTCTAGGGCCCGCCGGGCCTTTAACGCCGCACAAAAGCAAGAACATGGAACACCCAAGGAAGTGAGAAATCAACATGACATCCGGCAGGCCTCGCGTAGGGGAGCCACTTTGTTAAGAAGCTCCTAGCCAGCACTCGTGTCAGTCCCTGAAACCCAAATCTGCAAGATGAAATGGCTTGCCAACTGGGCTTGTCCAACTGCAATCCAGCTGTGACTTGTCTCCGCGTTTGTTCATCCACCCGGGCTGCGGGGGTTGGGAGTCCAGCTGTCAGTCAGCCAATGCTCTTGCCAGGACATGATGGAAATCTTAAAATCAGAACTGGCTTTCAAAGCAGTCAAGGCCATTTAAAAGGTCGACAATCGTGACCAGCTGGCCTTGCCAGCGCGATCAGATGCTCGTCGCCAGGGCTGAGTCCTTCACAGTTTCCTAAATGCCTTCAGTGACAGGCAAAGGCAGCCACGTGCATTATCGCCGCCAAGCACAACAGCTTTGATACCGCTTTGAACGACGCAGTAAATGGATGTAGGCCTCGCCCGCGTCAGGCTGCGAGAGGGTGCTTGCGGAACCGCCTGGCAACTCCAGCAGCTGCTACACTCGCACGGAAGGTTGTTAGGATGGAAGGCTCTCCGCAGCGCACATCTGCATGCTAGCGTAGAGAAGTTTCAGGATTTATGCCTACCTTCTTGGGCCTCAACACCCGCGAGCCGTGCAGCGTCATCTCTACCTCAAACCGCCATGACCGAATGGATCTGAAATGACCTGAATCTTCTGAACTGGCACATACTGGCATGTACTGGTGACAAGCCCTCTTCTTTTCGCGAAGCAGCTGGATCCTCTTGAGCGAGGCCTTGAATTTGGAATCATGAAACTTTTTTGAATGTTCACGACCAATTGCATGACATTGTTTCATGAGAGCAGGTGGCTACCAAAGAACGTGCTTGAGCTTTCCCTCCAAGAGGCCTTGGGCAGCTAGGTGTCTTGGATGCGCTGGGCAAGAGCGGCCTTTGAGACGTCCTGCACTAAGCGCGGCTGGGTTCTGGATGGGGAACATGGGATGTTGAAGCTGCTGCCATGTAAGGACTTTTGAGGAGCTGGTAATCAACTTGATCTGAATTTTAATTCAAGAACTTACCTAATGAGGATTGTTATAAACACCATCTTTGCACAGACGATGTTTATATGCAGCATGCGATGCCAACGCCTGCTGCACATATCGCCGCCGTATTTTCTTGGAGGTGAAGCGCGTCGTTTTTTTGGTGCTTGCCGAGAAGGCTGCTTCACAGGGCTGACAGGCTTGAGAGTGCCTTGTTCTAGTCCGAAGCAGAGCTGAAGCCAAGGTCACGTATTGCTCCTGGGAGTCTTGTATTAGCGCTAATAGCTAGAAGAACACTTCAGGTTTGGCCGTGGCAGTGAGTTCGCTTCGCATGTGCAATCTCTAAACAGGAGGAAGTCATGGCAAGAATGAACGGAAATTGCTGGCTAACTTTTTCCCGGCATGTAGCAGCAGAGTGCTCACAACTTCCTTGGGGAGGCGCGCCCCCTGCGAGGTTCCAGCATACCGTATCGTGGCAGCCTGCAGCCAAAGGCGTTGAAAAGCAAAAGCTCCAAGCCCCGAAACTCAGCGATCTCAGCGGTGAGATCCTGTGAGGCCCCAGCGGCCCTGGCACCGTCTTCCTGCCACCCGTACTCCAGCGCCGCACCAGCATCTTGCCACCTTCCTGAGAGCACTTCCGTGGAGTGAAGCTGTTGAAGCGCGTGTAGCAAATGCAGGCCAGCTGTGAAGTCGAGGCTCGCTTGGAGCATTTGGCACCTGTCCTTTCAGGTACGGTTGCGTGCAAGCTGCACATTCCGCAACTTGTGCTGGCTAGCAAGAGCACGAGGAGCACAGGAACATGAGCTCAACTGGACTGAAGCGGACATGTCAAGGAGCCCAGTAGGCATCAAACACGAGTTGTATCCCATTGCGCTCCCACCCCGAACCTTGGCAAGCATCAGCATGCCCCGCTGTGCTATCCAACCGGCCTGAATGCATGCGTTGACTGGAGATGCTGCAAATCGTTGCTAGTGGGAGAATTTGGACACACGTTGCAGGAAATGGACAATTGTAGCCCGTCATGAAGCTGCTGCAGGGATTCACTGCGCAAGCATGAGATGCCCAGTGTCTGAGTTATCTCCAAGCAACTCAGCAATTCCCGGCATGTTTGGGTGCGCTGGCTGAGAGCCTGTTAGCAGCATGAGTAATTGAGAACTTCGAAGTGCTGTGCAGACCAGGTGCCTCTCTGGCTTCTCTCCTCCAGACCTGGCTGCGTGCTAGCTCGGCGTGTTTGCTCTGACCAGCAGAGATCAAATTACCGCACTTGACTACGCCTGGGGATCTGGTCTGCATCTCACGCCCTAGGTCAGAAAGCCTCCAGATCTTGGAACGCCTCCATAACCAGGCGTCATCAGCCGCTATCTAGCACATCGGAAGGATTAAGTCATAAACTTCGTTCTTCATCTGCAGCGTGAAGTATCGAATCCGTGCTAGCCATTCTAACAAATGGCTCTACAATGTGGCATCTCAGCATTGTGGCCTTCCGGGGATTGCATCCATGTTTGCGTGTGCTACAATCCCGTGCATGAGCTAAGCATGTCACCTTGAGCACATGTCATGCTGCAGGGACCACTGCGGCATGTCGGACAACGAATAGCAAACCAGCAGCGCGGCATGCGTGAATTGCCTGCATCGCCAACGCCACCTCCTGAGGACTTAGAGAAATGTCCCATCGTGCGAAAAGCAGCCGAGTGGGAGCTTGGTCCTGGTCTCTGGCCGTTTGGTCATCAAACCGCAGCCTTCAGAAATCTGCATCACACATGCTGCCCAGGTTCTTAACAACGTCAGCTTGACTCGTGTCGGAAAACGAAGGCAAGCATCACACAATGCCACAGGTAAATGCGCTGACATTGTTAGAGTCTGTGCCTATCCAGGGCGGGCTTTGTATGTAGAATTCATTTTGGATTTCGTGCTTGTGAGGTAGGTTGGTTGTAGTAGTTTCCTTCTGCTTCCTTCATGTTACAAGAGCCTTCCCTTATCTCCATGTTGTTCAAACTCTTGTCTACGATCTTCCTACAGAAATTTTAAGGGCATCGGCAAGGGCATCGGTCGTCGTTTCTGGACGACTTTAAAAAATTAACAAGCATCACAAGAAAAACCCTCCTAAATCGACCTCGCGCTGCTGAAAACTGCTGTTATTAGCACAGCATAATGCTGTCACAGCTCAGCATAGGACTGATCCCCAAGACATAGATTTGTAAATGCTGGCCTCAAATGCCCTGATGCCCAATCCAGGCTACGTGATGGGTACTTTGCTTTCTGCGAATCTCCCGACGCACCGCCTTGGACAGTTGCTGGAGTGGTCACGGCCTGTTGCAAGAAGTCGAATGTGCTCGGGTCACGCAGCAGCGGAAGGAAACCCAGGCGCCCAGCCAAGCAGGCGACCCTCACAACACTCGTCGAAAGACAGGTCGGAGACCTTATGCGAAGCCCGTTTGCATCACAGTGCTGCTAGATGATCCTCATGCAGAAACGAAGATGCATCCCCAACTCCAAGGGCCGCCGCGCCCAACACCTGCGCCCGTGGTGTGGCGTTGGACACGGCCACCACCGTTGTCATGGAACATAGCAGAAGTGGGCAATGTGGGCGTTCATATTCTCTTGTGCATCTGGGGATTGACAGTGCAGGCATGAGTCTGTTGAATGCCATCTGTGCTCTTGCGTGTTTCTAGACTGCCAGTTTCCTGCAAAGGCGCTACTGTACAGTATGGTTTGCTTTCATGTGCGGGTCTGTCTTGTGTTGCAAACAACTAAGAAGGAAATGCATGTGTGCATGATTGATTGTACCTGCATGATATGTATTTGAACTATTGTTTGTGGGACCTCTGGTTGCCGCACGGTTGTCATGTGCATCATTCATCAGCGCGTAGAGCACAGTTACCACTGCATGCGAGCACACAAAACGGTAGCTTACTGAACGTACAGAGCTTCGACATGCAGCGGTGCTGCAGGAATCATGATATCCAGCCACAAACCAAGCACTTGAGCACAGTCAGGAGACTTTTTGTTTCACCTCCCAACTCGAGTACTACGACGTCAACTTGGAGGCGCACAATCCTTGCAGGCCACACACTATCGCCAGGAGAGGCACATGTACCCGTACTATCTCAATCTCCGGCATTCGGAAGTCAGAACTTGGAGGCGTTGTCTGAGGCTTGGCAAGCTGAGCAATGCGCTCAGCCAGGCCACTGATGCTCTTGAAGCCGAGTCTGGAAGACTAGATTGCAAGATGCACGGGCACTGCGCGCAGAGGGCACCAAAAGCACAGCTTCAAGCAATTTGCTGCAGGCAGCGGGAGCATTCCTGCAAGTTCATACCAGGGCACCAATTACAGCAACCAGCCAACGGCTGTGAAAATCCCCCATCCATGCACAACATGGTGGTTCATCTGGGTGTTTCATCGTGCCACAACGTGTTGATGCAACTGACACAGCCTAGTATCCAATAACGAATAACTTTGTCTGACCTGGCGCCAGTGCCGGTTCGTATCTCCCAAAACACTGAAGACAACAAAACAATGCGCCACAGACCTTTCTTTGGACATGGCATACTGGCGCGATGAGTCTAATGGTTTTCTCTTCCTTGCTTGACATGCTATTAGCTTCATGACTCCTCTTCCATACTTCCGTATCATTCCGTTGGTTTCCACCCGTGTTGAATCCTCGATTCCGTTAAAGGTTCCCATGCTCGCAGTGCTTGGAGATGTCCTATCATCATCAGCAACAACAACAAAAATAATGATACCAAGCATCATGGTGACAGCATCTCTACCATGAGTTTGCAAAACTAGGGAATGGGAGTATACGAACTCCTACATCTTAGAGGGACTGAAATCCTGAAAGGAGTCCAGGCTCGGCCCCGCCACCTTTGCCTTGCAGACACAACACTTCTTGGTTGCACTGCGTGGCTGAGATGAGAGAGAACCACAACAAAGTGGAAGCCAGGGTCGAAAGTCGAAAGGGGTGTTCAGCTTCGAGGCTGTGCAAAATCTCGTGCAAGGCACACCGACAAATCGCAAGAGGTTGTGGATCTCCCCCATTGCCACCAACAGCCTTGCCCCATTGCAACATGAGGCATGGGCTTGTCTATGTAGGGTGCTCCAGGCCAGGCGCCAGCCAGCCAAAGTTCCAAGCCGTGCTGAGATCTGATGATATGCCTACATAACCCTAAGAGTAATGAGGTTTACACCCTAACTTCAAAGCAATGAGAATTTCTGCTGCTTCTTTGGAGCCTAGAGCATAACAGAAATCATGTTCAGGGAACTTCCCTAAAGCTCTACACACTGAAGCCCTGAAACAAACCCTAGACCATCTCACGCTCAAAGCTCCTAGAGTTCCTAGAAACTCAGCCTACAAGCTGGAAAGCTCATGACTTCCAATGGTAAAGCCTCCCGCCCCCTAGCAAGCAATGAATCTTCCCAGCGTTGCAGGATTGCATCTTCAGAGGGGGATATTGATTCGAAAAAACACCCTGCCCGAAACGAACATGTCAACTGAACTGACCCCGAGGTCTCGAAGGATTGTAGTCTTTGTGTGGCACTTGCTGGGCTTCCATGTGAATTTGGAGGACTGAATTCATCATGCACGTACAACAGGCTGCTCCGCGTTACTGTGCCAAACTCCTCAAACTTCAAACACCTAAGTGTAAGGAAAACTTGGCACGTCGAAAAATCAAAAAGTGGAGCTTTTGGATGACTTGTGAATACCTCAACTACTTGCAATCGCTTAGCCGCATCCGCGTAGTCCGGATCACCTAAAACGCTTCCGCGTGGGTCGCTCTACTCCTTACCTACGGCCTGCTGGGCCTGTGGCCCACAGGACGGCTTTTTGAAACTTCAGCTGTCAGTAAGTGCCCACGTGAGTGAGACTTGTTGTTGTTGACTCCTTTGAGCTTTGTGCGATCTCCAATGCTTGGGCATGAATGAAAAATGTGAGGGCTGCAAACCCATCACTGCACTCAGCCAGCAGGAGCTACACAATGTGAGGCTGGTGACGAAGACGAGGGCTGGTGATCTCAACTGAACGCTCCCAGTCAAAGTAGCAACCTTTTTGGTTTTCGCAAACTTCCAGTAGCCATGAGATTGCGGAGGGCAATGCTGAGGTCAAACCTGCCTGGGCCTGTAAATCGCCCATGCAGTGCCCTCACAGCCTCAATCGAATTCGCGACACATTGTCGAGTGTTTACATGTGGTGTAATGAATACTAGCCTTGGCCTTACCCCGTCAGGTCAGTAAACCCTGAGCGTCCGCAGAATTTCGACGCAAAGCAGGCCCTGAAAGAATGAATTTACAGACCCCTTTACGCCTCTCAGTTGCAGCAGCCACCGGTCTGACGACCATCCAGCCGTGGCGGTCCATGCTGGTATCCTGCGCCTACATGGAGGTGCGAGGTGTTTGCAATAATTATGCAAAACCGCGGAGTGCTCAAAGGCCGTACCCGCACGCGCAGCAAGCCTCTGTGCAAGAACCATCCTGACATATCATGCAATGGTCCGTCAATGCGACGCTGAAGCGTGTCTGTGACTCTGCATTCTCAATTCCATCGCCATTCAGGGCTCCCAAACAGTGCACCTAAATGCCCTTTGTACCCTGAACTCTTCCTACAAGCAAAGCTCCATGTCTCCGAGGCCTGTTGGCGGCATGCCGACTTTGATTCCGCTGCTCTGCAAGGGCAGTGAAAACAGTCAAGTTCAGCAGCCAGCTCTGAATGGCACATCGAAACTATTCAAAACTTGGCAGTCGCTGCTAAGCTGGTTGGCGGGTGATGGTAGCTGAGTTGCGGGCTATCAGGAGGTTGGCAGAATTCACAACACATGTGTGAGTGACAATCGCGGAACCGCCAAGACAAGACGCCGCGCAACACTAAGTTGAAACAAGTGTTGCTGGCAGCATAGAGCCTGCAGAGTC